GTGCGTGTCCCTGCGGACCATCCACCGTCCACAAGGTAAGCTAAATATTTACGTAATGTCGCAATGTGACTTATTATTTACTTATATGGACACTAAGTGTTACTGGTTGAGGGGGAGTGCGTGGTTGGAGACACCGGAGTTTGAGTCTAGAAATAGGTTTTTTCGTTACTACAGAGTATTTGTTTTACTCTGTTATATTTTGATATTTGTTGATCGGGAGAATAAGCGGGCTAACCACTCTATCTTTTGGACACCACATACCTCTATTTTTTGCTTGTCGTGGATACTTACTCGACCAGGGTGGATGATTTACCGTGTCAGTATAAGTTTACCTACTTGTAAAGAACACAGTGTGTCGGTTATATATTCTATGAACAGTGCTGATGTTGATGGCTCCATCCATATTTACGGTAATTATTCTCCCCAGTATTAACGATATTTTTAATAGTTATCGCCGCTTTAGTTCGTCATAAAGAATCGTAAAGATAAGTGAAGTAATAGTTTACTAGTATAAGTAGTTACTTAACTTACTATATAGTATTACTTATATATAGCCGATATATAGGTCTATATATATATATATATATATATACATATATATATATATATATATATATATATATATAGCTACTACTACCGTACCNCCACAGATACTACTGCGTCTGTCCTAAACAATACAAGGTACGTGTGTGTCGACATCTCTTATCACAAGCTCTGATTACAGGTGTGTGATTATAGGTGTGTGTGATTATAGGTGTAAATCTAGGTTGCATAGTTGTGTATAGTTGCATATAGTTATGCATAGTTGCCCATATCTATGTGTCAATAGTTGTGTGTAGTTGTTTGTAGTTGTGTGTAGTTGTTGATAACGCCCCCCACGCAACATCGTGCTTGCGTGCGTGCGTGCGTGCGTGCGTGCGTGCGTGCGTGCGTGCGTGCGTGCGTGTGTGCGTGTGTGTGTAACGCCCCCCACGCATCATTATAACGAGCTGGTAGCAGTCTAACGTTCCGTGTTGGTGTGTGTTTATGTAATCATGTAATGTTACAGGGATGGAAATGTGACGAACACGAAACGCAGTGCGCCTCGAACCCGTGTTTGAACGGAGGCACCTGTGTGAAGAGTTACTACAGAGAATACTGCAGCTGGCCCTTACGGATATAACCGGCGAATTGTAGGTCCGCCGCTACGTATCCCACGCACGCACGCGACCCACACACACCAGATGCACGGCAGCGCACGCACACACACATGCACGCACGCACGCCACCCACACAGAATGCACGCACGCCAACACGCACGCACACACATGGCACGCACGCACGCACGCACCGCACACACGGCACGCACACGCTATGCCACCGGCCCACACTACGCACGCTCCCACACGTGAATACACAGGTGACACACACACCCACTGCACATCACAGATCGCACGCGCACGCACACACGTACGCGCGCACACTGCTACGCGCGGCGACATGTACACGCGACACACACCGGCCACACAGCACACACGTAGATGTGGCATACCGCCTACCGCGCGCACTATACACACGCACACACGATATGTGGGCATACCTCGTAGGCGCCGCGCACATACACACGCACACACGTATGTGGCGCACTACGCTAGCGCGCGCCAACATACACACTGCACACACGTTATATGCTGTGTGGTCACTCACTCTGACGCACAAGCGCACATATACACACACGTACAGTTATTATATATTTATTTATTTATTTAATTAGTTATTTAGTTAATGTAGATCTAATGTGTGTGTGTGTGTCGGTGGGTGCGCGCGTGAGTGTGCGTGGTGTGTGTGCGCATGGGTGCGTACGTGCGTGCGTACATGTGTGTGTATGCGCGTGTGCGTCGCTGCACTACGAGTGCGTGTTACCGAGCGGTGCATCTAAGATGGCCGCCGCCGCCGCCGCCTCGTTCTGTTTCAGCTGTGAGAGTCAGACTTTGCATGATCTCTGTCATCCGTCACCATGCGACCACGGAGGCACGTGCACGGAGAACGACGCGGACCCACACGTCGATGAACGCAGACGGCCGCTCTTCAAACCCCGCCCGCACCGCTCTTCAAACCCCGCCCGCGCCGCTCTTCAAACCCCGCCCGCGCCGCAAACGTCTCTAGAAGGGCAATCACGTGACTTTTAGCTTGCAACCAATAATATTTCAGACCTTGTATTTCCCTCGTAATGTAACCGGAATAAACTTCTACAATAATTACTATAGCATGACGTACCTAGTAGTAACACGTGTAGTGCAGCACTGTGTATTGAAGCTTGTTAAAAAGGT